TGCTGGATCGCGTTCATGGCGCCGGGGTTATCGGAACCCGATGAGCGAGAAGAGTCGGAGGACTACCTGTTGGCCGGTAGTGGAGGATGGCAACGAAATAGCATCGAGGTTAGAGAGAGGAAGTGAAAGGCGTCGCGTCAAGTTTGGAAAATTATTCGCCGTCTTCGTCGGTTTGGATCGCAAAAAGCAAGGAAGGAGTGAGGCATTGGACAAAGTCAAAAAAAAGAAAGGGAGCAGGCGTAACGGAGAAGCCAGCGAGCAATTATTTGGGTGTGGCAGACAAGAGACCCGACAGAAACAGATTCCAGTCAAGGCCCGGCCAGGCCAAGCCAGCACGGGGGGGCTTGACGGGGGGTTAAGCGTGGATGTGCTCCGTCAGGTACCTTTACTGCGAGGGCCAGTGGAGATGGGTACCTTACCATGTGTGTACCATACCTTCAACCCATGCAAATGGAGAAAGCTGGCCTGTGAGTATCCGGTACATTTCCAGGCTGGGTCACTGTGTAAATTTGCCAACCTCCCAGCTACTCTCTTTGGGCTGGGCTGGGCTGGTTCCAGAAGTGGTGCAACTGCAATGGGACTTATTCGTTGTGAAATGGACCGAAATTGCTGTCTGCACCGCACCACCTTCTCACTTTATTGCCTACCTACCTGCTGCGGACTGCATCGTCGTCATCATTTTTACCCGATTACCCATCCGGCCCTCGCCATGTGGCCTCACCCATCCCGAGAACGAGGGTAACAGTCTTGAAATCAGCCTCTGGATGAGAGGTCGTCGTCGAAGCCGAAGCATACTGTCAAGTGGTTTTTGCAGTTGTACTCCGTACAGTCGAGATAACATCAAAATGAGCAATCTACTGGGATGGGCAGACACACGTGGGAGAGGAAAATGCGATGGAAGATGAGATTACGAACCCAAGAGGGACAAGTTCCTGTGTAAATGGGGAGATGGCAATCTCGGGGAACCACCCCAGGTCCGACAGACCGGCTCTCAGCGGGATACGCGTTTGCTGTTTGCTTGCTGCGATTCGCAAGCGCGAGGTGGTTGGGATTCTCACCTATCCGTACGTACTCCGTACCAAAGGTGTACCCAAGGCATTATACGCCGCCTGGTCTGAGCTCTCGAGTCCCCTTACAGCCCTGTAGTGAAGGAGGGGCAAAAGGGGCTTGTATCGATTTCGCACAGCACCATTTAAATGGAGGTTTGTACAGGGCAAAAGCTCAATGGCACCCAATACATGTGATACTATTAAACCTCTACTGAGGAATGGTCGATTGTTGCCGCGTTAGTCCCCCCAAGGTATGAGAGCTTGCTTCTCATCAAATTTAAAGACACGAGGAAAATCTAGCATCCACCAAAGACACAATAAATGCCGTCCGGCACTGACACAAGCATTCAAGCTTTATTTACCTTACCGCAATGCGCCAACACAAAACTAGACACGGGAGATCTTTGTCTTATGAATGCAAAGCCCTGCATTTGTACCTATTGATAATGAGGTAAAGCTGCCTTCAAGCGAGGACTTCGCGGGTGGAAGAAGCCAGCGTGGTACCTTGATTGTTTCTTCAACTTCATGCAGACGCACTTGTCATTGGATGCATGTTTCACAGGCCATCCATCCCCCAAGTCCCTCAATGCCCGCCCTATCCTTACCCTGGTATATACCCAGACCTGCGGCGGGCGGGCGGGCGAACCTCACGATGCAGCAGCTCCCAGACACTGACTGGGCCAAAACAAAACAGCGATCTCCCCCGTCTATTTTGGTCGTCGTTTTGGAAGACGGGAATGCTGTCCACCCAGGGTGTCTTGCGGTGTTTGGGACGGACAGGTGCCTGGGATGATCCCGCCCCCTCGGGGAGTTCCAACAAGGTGCTCGGACACTTGCACACAGGTCGCCAATCATGTCCGCTTATCTGCACCTTTGGGAAACCTGGTCTAGCTGACCTCAGGCAAGGCGAGAATCGACATGCTACGGGATACCCAGCTCTCGCGAGTCGGAAATCAAGTGTCGAAACTCGTGAAGAGATGGAATCTTCATGTGCTCGATCGTCGCGGCCCGAGTGAAGAGTTAGGCAATGGTGAATTGGCAACAGATATAGAGAGGCACGTGGAAGAAGGTCTGAATACACTGGTTGCAAGCACACTTCCAGATTCGCGTCATTTTCCTTCTGACGGCCTTACCTAACAAATACGTACCCATCTTCTTCTCCTTCGTTCCTTCCAACTTGCATCTGCACCTGCACCTCACCTGCCTCGCCTTACTTTTTCGACCCATCCAGCTCCGGTCGGTCGTCACCGCCGCCGTTCCATCCGTCTGATGTCGTCAGCACCCGACTGCACCCCTTCTAGCTTCCTTGCACGCCCGGGTCCACCGTCGTTAGGTAGGTTGTTCAATCTGTCAATGGAACATCTTGAGTCCGATTTCATCATCACGGCCGACCTCACGATTGAAACCTGCTCAAGGAGCGTGCCTTGTCAGTCATCGCCTCACATTCTCACGCCATGTTTTGCTTCTCAGTCGGAATGTACGCTCTCGCTTCTACGCTTCCAACATGCTTCTCTCCACAAGACTTATCTGCATCTGCCAGCTCAGCAAAAAGCCTCCACCTTGGATCCAGATTCACGAACAGCCCCGGTATGGCCTCCTCCAACCCAATGCCTCAGAGAGTGGCAATAGCCCCCTCATTTTCAGTTCGCCCGTGAACATCCCGCCGCCTACACTACTTTCCGCTGTCACTTGCATGTAGGTAGGTGCCAACGCTGCCCTGTTAGGGCGGGCTGTCAAGCAGAATGACGGATTCTTCAAGCCGGTCTGCCAAGGTACCTCGCGAAGGTGTGCATCCTCTACCCGCGACCAATCACGATACGGCCCGTCCCCATTGCGTGCCGCTGCTCCGCATCCCCCGTGATGCCCGGAGTCATTTGAGTCCGAGAATTCCGAAGCGGCCCATCCTATGACCGGCATCACCTGCAGTATGGCATGGGACCCTCACGGGTCTCTGAGAGTTTGTCCATTCGGAGTGTTGATCCTGGACGCAGGTGGGTTTCACTGGTGTATGGAGCCCTGCTGCAGCATCACACACAATACTGGCACAGGCGAAAAGACTATTCGCAAGCACCTGCACAACAAATAAGTTCCAGGATGTATCGAGAGGAGAATAGTGAACGATGGGATAAGTGTACAGTCTTCCTTAGCGCTTCTGGTGTCGTTGAGCGTAAGAGTCACAGTTCGTAAGCATTCATCTTTTCATTATCTGCACCCACGGGCACTGGGAATAATGAGGGTCTTCTTTCGCATATGTCAAACAAGCGTTTGGACACGACGTTACACCTATCAAGAGAGAGGTGGTTGGGTTGTCAGTCCATGATTGGTCCTGAAGCAAGTGCAACGCACCCCGGACAACTCAACCTTGCTGGTGGAGCTCGTTCGACGATCACAGATCTGGAGATGGAAGAGAAGCACACCGAGCTACACCGACGGTGCCAGTAGAACATGATAGGAAAGGGAATACGAGCCACTTTTATATCTCAACGCTTGGTATCTTGCAGTCGGCTTGACTTCTTTTGCGATGACGTAGGCGAACGGTATTTACCGCGAGAGACGAGGTGGCTTTCCGAACCCGTCTCTGTCATCCAAGTCCGGGAGGCTCAAATAGCCACATGGCGGCCCCATCTTGAGCTGAGAGAACCGACCCGGCGGTAGATACAACTGTACTACTCTATTGAGAATAAGCCTACCTATCCTATCATCTCAAAAGATGCTAGTGTCAAGATTCCATGGCTGCAAGAGGCGACAAACGGACAAGTTGAAAACGAGACCCCACGCCTATCCCAGCCAGACAAGACTACGGAAGTCCTGATACTGAGATTTTTCTCCGGAGCAAAGCTGCCAAGATATATATCCACCTTAGTAGCTCATTGAGCTATGGGATAACCAGCAAAGCGGGAGCCATGCGCCGGCCGGGCCGTTAGTCGCCGGCTTCGGGGCAATGTCTCACATTCTCCAGAGAGCGCGCTCTCCGTGCCTTTGACAGAATCCCTGCAACTACGGATAGAATTGACGATCATTTCTCCAAGCATAAGCTCAACTACCGCAACACCATCATGGCCACAATATTGATTCTAGTCCAACGAGTAGTCTCGCGAGTCGCTGGCCAGAACCTCACGTGGAAGTCCACATGGGAAGAGAACCTGGGCCCAAGGAGAGAGGTCGCATGCAGCAAGCAAGCTGGCTCATTGCCCGTTTTCTTTGTGTAACTCTAGCCAGCTGGAGTAAGCCAGAGTGGAGATTGAAGAACATCCAGAAATTTGGCCACGCGTGCTGAGGTACCGGTCAGGAATCTAGCCAAGGAACCGGAAGTCGGGATGGAGTTTGTTGGTGTTGAGGCTGCCGCAAGCAGAGGCTGTAGTAGGGGACGGCAGATGGAGGAGAGACATGTCCCTCTTTATGATGTTGTCTTCTTTGAGCCCCAACCAACGCCAACGCCAGCTAGCGCGTGTGCATGCATCAAGACTCAAGACACTCAAGACTCTCTCTCTGTCGGAGCCTTTTCCCTCTCTTGCGCTCCTTCCTCGAATGGCTCGCTCTGCTACGGATACCTCAGGTTAGTACTCAAAAGTCGATGCCACCAACTCATCCCCAGAAGCGACCTGGACCACGACCGGGACCGGGACCCACCTAGGTCAAGCTGAGCTGCTCTGCCTTACACCATCGACCTAGAAGCTGGAGATTCCGTGTGGCGTTGTTTCCACACCTTACCTTCCTTACCTTACACTCACTTCCTTCCTTCTTTTTTATCCGCTGGATATCCTCGATCCACGGAGCCTCATCTCTTTTTTCCCTTCTTCAAGGTTCTCTTCAGCTACAACAATCCTTTTTTCCGGGACCTTCCCACCTTTACCTTCTTTACCCTTTCTTCTTCGGTATCTTATCGCTGGGTTTATTGTATCTCATTCAAGCCAAACAACTCCACAACGAGAGCATCGAAAGCTGCCCAAGATGAAGTCTGTAATATTCATCGCCTTCACCGCCGCTGGAGCGGCTGTGAGCTCCGTCACGGCTTTGTCCTTCCCTCGCGCCACTGAGGGCCAGGGATTCATTGCCATGCCGGTCAGACAGGTCAGGCCCGATTACAGTGACCTTGACAAGAGAGCGGCCATCGAGGTTACTCTCAAGAACCAGCAGTTCTACTACTCGACTGATAGTGAGTATTTTCCCGCCACCTCCTACTCATTTGAGCGGACTGACATGATAAAAAAAAAATAGTCTCGATCGGCACTCCTGCCCAGCAGGTCACTGTCCTGCTCGATACCGGCTCCTCTGAGCTCTGGGTCAACCCGGACTGTGCCACCGCTCCTTCTGCCTCCCAGGCCAAGCAGTGTATCGCCGCTGGCCAGTACAACCCGGCCAAGAGTCGCACCCCGGCCGTTGGCCCCATTGGAGCTCGAAGACTCAACTACGGAGACAATTCGGACCCCAGCACTCAGACCAGCGCCGAGATCGCTTACTACGTTGACACCATTACTATGGGCGCTGGTGCCATCGTTAACCAGACCTTTGGCCTCGTCACCAAGAGCGATGGCATCGCCACCGGCATCATGGGCCTGGCTCCGGACCTCAAGGTTGGATTCGAGAAGGGCAAGCCCTACAGCCTGATCCTCAACACCTTGGCTGATCAAGACATCATCGGCAGCCGTGCCTTCTCGCTGGATCTCCGTCACTCTTCCTCTGACTCTGGCGCGCTCATCTACGGCGGTCTCGACAAGGGCAAGTTCATCGGAGAGCTTCTGAAGGTCCCCATGGTCGCTGGCATCAGAGGCGAGCCTCGGTAAGTGAAAGCCTTCTCACTCCTGCCTCATCAAGTGAAAATGCCACCGGACCCTTCAAACTAACTCACAGCTCCAGTCTCGCAGCTACCCTTTCCGCCGTGGGCATGACTCTTCCCAACCAGCCCGTCAAGTCTTACGACCTCGGTGCGGCTGACACGAACGTTATGCTTGATTCGGGCACTACCCTGACGCGCCTCCATCCTGCCCTCGCGCGTCCCATTCTCGCAGACCTCAAGGCAGTGAGCGACAGCACCGGATACTGGACCGCCGACTGTTCCCTCCGCACCCCGACCCTCGCCAACGGCGGCAGCGACTCCTACGTGACCTTCACCTTTGGCAAGAAGACCATCCGCGTGCCCCTCAGCGACTTCATCCTCGACATGGGCCCCAAGGACGGCCAGTGCTACGTCGGTCTCGTCATCACCACCGACCAGCAGATCCTCGGCGACAGCATGATGCAGGCCGGCTACTTCGTCTTCGACTGGGACAACCAGGCGATCCACATGGCCCAGGCCGCCGACTGCGGCAAGGAGGACATCATCGCCATCACCAACGGCGAGAACGCCGTCCCCAGCGGCCTCGTCGGACTCTGCAACGGACCCGCCACCCCGGACGGCAGCGTCGCGCCCGCGCCTGGTGCAGTGAGTTCTTCTTCGGCTCCTCTTTCTTCTACTACTGCTACTACCACTTCCCCGTGGCTTTTCCCCGACGCCCCGACTGGCTCGACCTACACAAACCCCCCAATCCCGAGTCCGAAGATTGTGACTCCCTCTGATTTCGTATTTATAACAACTTATCCTCAGTCATCCTCCTCCGCGACCGGTACCGCCTCGCCCGCTTCCTCCGCTGGTACTACCCCCACTACGGCCACCGGCGGCAGCGGTGGTGGTGGCTCCTCGACGACCACGGGCACGACGACTGCTGCCCCGACCGCGACCGATCCTTCCTCGTCGAGCTCCTCCGATTCTCACAATGCCGCCTCGTCCCTTTTGGGCAGTGACCAGGTATTCATGGGCTTGTTCATGAGCGTATTGGCTATCCTGGCCACCGCGGCTGCGTTCTAAGTGCTGGCTTTGGAGATGATTTTGTGAACACAACAGGAAAAAAAGGCTAAGGATACGATACCCTTCTTTGTTCAGGTTTCGGGAAGCATGCATTCTTTGGGGAGTTTTCATTATCAACTTTGCATTCAAGGACGGCATGGACACTTTGGGGGAGGAGGAATTAATGGACGCCCTTCTCTTGTGTCAATCTGTCTTTTGTTGATGCAGACAAGACACACAGAGAGAGGTGCGATCTTTTCTCTGGCTAGCTGGCCATGAGCTTTTGAAAGAATGGTTCTTTACAAAGCTGGGGGTTTGGGCTGGATGTCTAGCTAGGACGGACGTTTACTGATGACCCGTTACGATACCAATGACGAAAACTTGAGGCCTCTTTTCTTCTCTACCAAAGAGAAGGACGAGGGGCCTGACTTTTCCAATTCGAAAAAGTTTCAAACTCGATTCCTTGCTCGTTCCCTCGTTCTCAATCATTCGTGCTATGTATGGTATCTATCCTGTGACCCTATGTGACATCGAACTTGAGAAGGGTAACACAAAAACGTATATATTTCATCACACCAGCCTCTATTTGTCTGTGTTCAGTCAAATTTTGTTGACGAGGGCCTTAAAACCCAGAGAGACAAGACTAGAAAAACCGGGCGTTGGCCGACGACTACCCAAATAGACTGCGTCGGGACTAACTCCGGGAAACGCCGTTGACCTCAGCATGACCCCCCCTATCCTTCACATCTACTCTGACGTAGTTTTGTCTCTAATGTTTCCTCTGTCTTGGAGTGTGATTGGAGTGTGTACTTACCCGAAATGAGCGTCACCGGTTCTAGACCACCCCTTCCGAGGAGGTCCAGGTCCTCCCAGACCACATCCGGCCCTTCCTCGTTGCTTCATGCCGCCGTTCCGGGACCCGAAGATGCGGGAAAAGATAACAAGGAATACAATTTGAAGTAGCCACAACTTGAGAGGGGGGGGGGGGGGGCCGGAAGCAGGATACACCGTCCGTGGAATGTCTCACTCTTGGATGAGGTAGTACCAATGATGAAGGCTGTAGAGCCCCCCCACCTTCGTCCTTCTTACCTAGGTACCTAAATGCTCCTTCCTTCCCCTTTCCCACAAACTACCTTCTTCCATAAACAGTTGCAGAAAAAGGCGTTTCTGCGTGTCCAAAAGTGGTTCAACCCCGAACGCCCACCAAATTCCCAAGATGCTGGCACGGTGGAAGGCCATATCATTCGTCAATCCCCGAGTCGAGACACGTGTCTCAATTCCGGGGGCCAGAGAGAGCTTAAACACCTGAAGCTTCACCTCGTCAGCCTCGCACGCAGCTCAAAGCTAAGGTAACCCACATCGAGATCCGTTGCGGAGTGCGTACTTGCTTTCGGCGAGGACGCCACGAATTTTGCAGACGGGCTTCAGGATCATGTCACGTCAAAATGGTGCACAGGATTGACTGTAAACTGAGGAAAATTTCCACTATGGACTAAGTAACTAAGCTATTTGCAAACGCTGGATGCCAAATGATTAAGACTGTCGAAGCAGCGAAACTGTTCCCAAGTCTTCCTTGAGTAAAAAGCAAATGTCTCCCTCTAATATCCGCCCAGCCTCGCCGTTGCTTGAAGCCTCGCGGGAAAACCATGAAGCAAGATTGAAGAAAGAAAAAAAAGAAAAAACGATCAAATCTCCACTCTCCATTCTCCCAAACGAACTCTAAGAAATCAGAAAGTTCTGCAAAAATCGCCGTGAATCAAGTGTTCGATGCTTCAGTATCATCGTCTTGGATGATAGAAAAGTGTAAAGTTGAAGAGAATATCTGGCCTGTCCGGACAAATTGCAACGAATGACTAGGCTCTGGTTCTGCGCTTCTTGGCAGCGCGAGTGAGAGGAGACTCGCTCTCGCTGTAGGTCTCGTCGCTGTCGGTGCCATCGCGCTTTCTGGTACGCGAACGCGTGATACGACTATTGGGAGCATCAGTCATTCCTGTAGGGTTCTTGGCTCCAGTCGAGGCGATGGTTGGATCAGCTGTATTCACGGCTCTGCCATCCGTGACAATCTTGGCCTTGGTCTCGAGCATGGTATCTTGGACAGCGACCGATTTGTTGAGGTTCGTAGTCAAGCAGGCACTGCAAGACTTCATCTCGATCTCATTGCTGTCACCGGGCTTCGGATAATCCCAGATGTATGATACAGGCGGGACGGTGCTCTTCATAATAGCATCATCTCGGCCTTGAGGGGTGAACCTTGGGTGCGTGAGGTCGATGTTTCTACAAGTCAGAGCGAAACGGCGCTTTCCCTTTGGATCGACCCTGTGCTATGGTAATGTTAGAACTTGTGCTCTCACTAATGTCAGACTCACTTACCAGATACTCCTCATGAATGCGGGAGCCATGCATGACCACGATGTCACCGTGGTACAGGGGGAACTTGAGAACCACCTTTCGGTACTCCTCATCCTCCTGCGTCTTCTTTCCCCTCTTCGCATTCTTCACACTCTTTGTCTTCTTTGCAAAGAACATGATAGCCGGGCTTCCCAAAGAAAGTGTAGCTACCGTAGGGCCCAAAGTGTCTTCGCCATCATCGTGAAACTACAAAAGTCAGCATCGAGTTCACAAAGTGTTCATGGAGATACTGACGCCGATCTTGTCTTTCTCCATATAGCCGATGGACAACAGCTCATTGAAGTTGGTGAACTCGGGAGTGATAGACGGATCTCGAGTCAGCCCTGTATGTTGCGCGTGATGGCCAACAGTTCCCAAGACTTCGTTCGTCATCTCAATCGATACTTCACCCGCCCACTCCATCCTCTTGAGGGCTCCAATGAATGCCTCGGGGGCCGCTGAAAATGGCTTGGAGTCCACCGCGACAACGAACTTGTAAGGGGCACCCCAATTTTGGAGGAAGTTTCTCGTCAGCTTCTCTGTGGGTACTGCAACAAGTTAGCGACGGGTTTTGTGGAAGAGATTTGAGTGAAGACTTACATCCGGGATGAACCACAGAGTTTCTGGACAGGTCAAAGGTGTCAACAGACTCGTTAGAGATCTGCCACATCTCATCAGGACCACCAGGCTGTCCATTCGTATTCTGGTTCGTGCGGATGATACTGACCGAGCCAATGATTCTGCTGGCGTCGTCGGAATCCGGAAGAAGATACTGCTCAATTGGAAGCCCATTGATCTCGGCATGGTGCTGCAGGATTCCTGCATCGTAGAGTCTAGACCCATGCATCCTCTTGACATGAGCCTCCTCTTGAAGTACATCCTGCAGAGGGAATGCAGCCGGCTTAGCCATCAAGACGAAGCTGCACACTGGGTTCTCATAAGCCCAGTGAGTCCAGTCAATTCGTCTCGAGCAGCCGTGGCACTGAGGACAGACAATGCCCTTACGCATCGCATTCTCAGTGCCGAGATGGCCTTTCATAGATGGAAGGTTCGGTTGAAGAGGCTGCTTGGGGAGTTGAAACGACGTTCTCTCTTGAAGGAAGCTCTCTGAGTATTCCAGATGAGCAACATCGACTCCAGCTGGGAATGTGAAGAACTTCTTGCACTTGCGGTTGAGACAGGTCCATCCGGCAGAGAAGACCGTCTTATAGTGCTGGTGGCAGTCAATGCACCAAGCAAGGGTTGCGGAGCAGTAAGAAGCAGCTTCAAGCCCCATGATGTCAGTTCCAGATGAGAATATGAACGACTCTTCGCAGTGGGCATTCAGACAGGTCCAGCCCTGGATGAAATACTGCTTGGACATCTTCAGACACTTGCCACAACTTTGGCGAACGTCACTGAACTCCTGAGGGTTGACAGTGTGTTGAACTTCAGCCTTTGCCTGCCACCAAGATGGTGTAGAACGGTCGATCTTCTCAAGTCGGATCTTGTGGCAGAAATGACCATTGGCTTCTTTCTCAGACCAAATGTCCGTGATGGTGAAGAACGCCATGACGTTGTACTTGTGCTCCGTGGCGATGGACAAGCCAGGGTAGTTCATATCTATTTGGAAATGAGTATGTTGTCCAGATATAGTGTTCCTGCGAAAAGGAATGACTTGCCTAAGATGACGCCAACGGGCATTGCTTTCATCATGGAAGCTTGTGCAGAGGACAGATTTCTCTCAAAGCCCTCCTTGACTCGAATCATGTTGCCATCAACGTCACGCTCTCTGCCACCACCGCTGCCACAGATCGTAATGATTAGCAATTAGTTAGCAAGGGAGATTGGGAATTACCTACAGCGTAGTGATGATGACCTCTGCATCCATGCGGTCTCGAATCGTAGGAAAGCCGCCAAGGAGAAATCCCACCATGGTCTTGTTGTTGGTGTGAGCACTGCTCTGGTGTGCCTTGTAGTAAGGCAGTGCATCACAAAGAGCCTGTCGGGTTGCGGCCCAAACGGGGGGTTTTCCAAAAGGCTCAGCCTTAAGCTTGTTGATGTCGGCCATCGTGCTTGCCGAGTACTTGAATTGCCGTGAATGGAGGGGGTTCTGCTATCGATCGTGAGGTATGCTTCACGTAGGTTGAAGAACGGTCGCAGTCCGAAAGTGAATTTAAAGACGGGCTTTGGATAAAGAAGGTCCGAACGGCACTCCTGGGTAGTTTGAAAGACGTCAGGTCCGAGCGGTGCTCCTCGGTAGTTGAAAGACGCCAGGTCCGAACGGCACGTCTCGTTAATTCGAAAGACCGAAGGTGCGAACGGCACTTCTAGGTAACTTGAAAGACTGAAGGTGCGAACGGGTAGAGGAAGTCGACTTCGTACGATGGAGGGGTTTGAGAAGATGTAAGAAGTATGAAGAATAGGAAGACCGTGTTTCACGATAGGGTTGCACTCAATTAAAGAGGCTGCACTCTCAAGGTAGATAGTGCGGTTGTGGGTAAGAGACGTGAGTATGTGTGAGGAAGAAGTCGAAGGTTGTTTGAAGTAGAAGTGGAAGAGTGTCTTAAGTTGACGTAGAGAGTGTCTAAAGTAGAAATGGAAGAGTGTCCTCAGTGGAAATGGAAGAGCTTCCGGGGTAGAAGGTGGTGGGTGTATAGAATAGAAGTCAGGGAGTATGTGTGGGAGAGAAGTGGAAGTGTGTATGTGGGAGAGAAGTGGAAATACGTGTGTAGGAGAAGTGGAAGTGTGTGTGTGGAAGAATCAGAAATGTGTGCGCAGGAGAAGCGGACGTGTGTGTGAGAGAAGTGAAGGTGTGTGAAAGAGAGAAGTGCGAATGCGGAAGAAAGCCCCTCTTAAATGACCTCCGGTGCGGGGGGAACGCTCAGGCAGCAGGAGTATATTATAAAGAAGGAACGAAGAAGGGACCGCAGGTTCGAAGGCAGGATCGCAGTGCGAACTGAAGAAGGAGCGAAGAAGGGACCGCAGATCTTAGCAGGATCGAAGTGCGAACTGGAGAAGGCACGGGCAAGGGACCGCAGTCCTTGGGGCAGGATCGCAGTGCGAGCTAAAGAAGGTATGGAGAAGGGACGACCGCAAGACTTAAGGCAGGATCGCAGTATTAGGAAGGAATGAAGAAGGGCTCGAAGGTTCGAAGGCAGTAGGAGAGTAATATAAGGAAAGAGCAGAGGGTGAGTGAAAAGTCTCAATTGCCTAAAAGGGTATCTAACCGAACACCAAGGAAGGACTGGCGGGCCCAATGATTGTGCGTGATTCACAATGGGAAAGAGCGAAGAACGTTGGCATTGTAGATTTGGAAGGTGCAAGTGATTCATTGCCCAAAACAAGTACTCTTCGCTTCAGGCATTTAGAGGAGACGGAAGAGACAGGGGCGACCGCGTGCTCATGCAAGGCAGATGAGGAGTGTTATGAGAGGTTCATCCAGCTGTCTCTTATCGTTTCTAGCAGATACTTGCAGGTTGTTTCAGCTCTCAATTCTCAAAGTTTGAGTCCCTTGTTGGGAGAGCGAGTTGAACCATCAGGTACATATTCAGTAAGTGTCAGTTCTGAGGTTAAAAGGAGAAATTCATAGAGTCAATTTAATTTCGGGCATCCGGTACATCTCATTGATAGGTATGGCATAAACATGCAATACCTAAATACTAGCTGGCATGGGAGAGGCTGGCTCAGCCATTAAGAGCAGCAAGATAAGGTATTCAGACGACCACTAGATATCTACTTTGGTCGGCCAAGAGCAACGCTTGACGGGGGTTTGTGGTCATTAGCTGAGTGTAAATGCAAGAAAACTGCTGACTGCAAAATTCCCTGAGTGATAGAAATCTTGCTCGCACAAGCTTTTCCCATTCTGTCATTTCCGGCAGGAATAGTAGCTTGCTGTAGGAATAAGAACCTGAGAAATACCATTTTGCCCTGCGGCCCTCTACTTCTCGACAAATAGAGACTGCCCCAAGGTAATTGATGGTGTCATGGAGCCAAAGACAGGTGGTTCCATACTCGAAGCGTAGGGATATATCGTCGAAGTGACTGGAGGAAGGGGGCTTGCAACGCCAGAGGTAAAAACCAAAGGTACAAGAATACAAGGCTTTCATTTCATGCATCTGGTTCCAGTAATACGAGGAAGGTGCGCAATTACCCTGGGAAATGTGTTTTACAGATACGATGAGTCGCGCAAAGTCAGAGGCCGGTTGCCAGATATCCCGGCGATAGGGCAGGCTGAGGCATCCAGTCTCCATCAAACCGGGCTCATCTACTTACATTTAACGTAGGTAGAATGGAGGGGAATGCAGTACGAATGTTGCTTCAGATGGGAAGAATGGATGGGTTGTGGCAAGAACTTCCCTCTTACCTATGTCACTTTCGCAAAATAGAAGGTAGCGCTGGCTTTGCCAGTAGACATAGGATAAGGTACATCTGGAAGATGGGAGCTCAAGTAATTTCTATCTGAGGCCGTCACTCTTCGAGTTTAGATTGCCTCATTGGAAAAAGTTAAGGTAGAGAGGCAACCTGTGGTGAAGACCACACATTCGAGGGTCATTGCAATCCGAGGGGGCTGCCATCATTTGAGCCGCCATTTAACAGCAATCAGGTGACGTGCATAGCAGCAGGTTCTCGTCAGCTTAAAGAGATGATCATATCACCGGAATATGTCATCATTTCCAGCGTGAAGTATAGTGGCTAAACAATGCTATCCCGCCACCGAGAAGAACGGCACACGTGGGTTGCCTACAGAAGTAAAGCCATCAGGCTAGGCTTTCATCACTCGGCGAAGCCCCGGCCAACAGCAGTGTTCTTGAAGCCAAACTCCGACTCAAATTCCAACTACTTGTGATGTGCCCCACTTTTGTCTTTGTGTGTGCAACTGTCGCTGAGGCCACCTTTCTTACATTCTGCATCGTGCGCTATTGTTTACCGGAGGATACTGTGAAGTGATCGGAGGATTCTTCTCAGAAACCCGAGACAGTGTTTCGCTCCGAGGTAACAGTAAACATGGGGGGATCATGGCCGTTGTCTGACGCGGAGGTCGGAGGGCAATAGAGGCCATGACCCACTCTGTGGGATTCGGTGGAGGTTGAGAATCCGGGGCGGGAGTGAGATTCCGCGCCGGAGATCTAGTGAATTGACTTCCGGGGTGCGACAGGGGCTTGCGGGCCCAAACGACCTGGCCAATCTGGTCGGCAAAGATGAGTGTCTGCTTTGTCATCGGAAGAATCTCGGTTGGTCGGAATGGTTTTTACCTTGGTAATTCGGTTCTCTGTTTGCTGACATAATGAAACGGGTGACACACCAAATACCAAATCACCAACCAAGGCACACAGGAGCCGGCTGGCCTCTAGCCCTTTGCAGCTGGTAAATCCACAGCCAGTGGCTGCTCGGCCAAATTCTGGGCCCTGGACCTCTTGGAATCGACGGGGGTCATGAGTAGCGAAGGTTTGGCGACGTGAAGCTCAGAGAATGGTTGAGCCAATCTAGCGACTGGGGTAAGGCATGGGCGCTACCACCATCGGCTGATGGCATCGGATCGTATCCAAGGTCAGCCACAGTTAACGTCCTAACAGTTGGAGGACTTGATGTTCATTATGGGATCTACACCAAATGACGCGGGCGGATACGCGGAATGACTCGACCTCCTGGAGAGCGCGGGAAGATACCGCACTATCTGCTGGCTCTGCCGAGGTGTGACAAGTACGTGGGGAGAAATGCGGAGAAGTGGGGGAAGCTATGCTTCTCCAAGTCTTGGTTCTTGCTCCTTCTGGCTGTGAGGAGAAGCAGACACGCAGAAGCACCAGGGACGATGAGACCAGGGGGGGCCCGTCACTGGGGGCACAGAGGCGCAACGCAATAGAGAGATCTAAACTCTGTTCCCGCCCCGGTCGGTCCCCTTCGCTGTCAGTTTTCTTTTCGAACCAAACCGCTTGCTCGGCAATTGAGCTTCAGCTATCCACCGAGCCTCGTGCGCAACTTGACATCATTCAAAAAGTCCGAACCTCCCCCGAACCTTTCTCTTTCTCAACGACGCTTCACATCTCTTTCAACGACGGAACTTCTTCGCGCGGCAAAGCTTCCAGGACACGATCTTGAACGCGTGAATACCAAGATTCTCACCCAACTTTCTCCTTATTTCCGCTTGTCTCTCCCAGTTCGCCGCTCAACATGGTCTTCACTTCGCCAAACTGGGTTCCCCAATTGCCCATCGGTAGGAAATTCCCCTAGGGCCCTCGGGCCTCGCCCAACATTCTGCTGCGACCAGTGCTCACTGGAACATCACAGATCCTCCGGATTCAATCACAATCCAAGAGTTCATGAGCAATGAGAGATACGGTCGCTATGCCCTCAAGGATTCCAGAAGCCCATACACCTGCGGCCTCACCGGCAAGTCATACTCGGCATCCGAGGTGAGGGAGCGAACAGACTTGTTGGCGAGAGGAATCTCCAAGAAGCTCGAGTTCGCACCAAACGAGGGTACTGAGTGGGAGAAGGTTGTCTGCCTCTTCTCTCTCAACACAGTGAGTAGCAATTGTGCCCAAGTCGCCCCGCATCTTTCTACGGGACTAAAAAGTAGTGCCTAGATCGATTACATCCCCTTCACCCATGCCATGCACCGTTTGTCCGGCATCGTCACTCCCGCTAGCGCCGCTTATTCAGCTCAAGAGTTGGAGCACCAACTGCGGTCGTCCAATTCGAAAGCTCTATTTACCTGCATTCCGTTGCTTGAAACTGCGCTCAAGGCCGCGAAGGGCGCCAACATCCCCGAGGACCGCATCTTTTTGCTGCCGGTACCGGGCGCCGATCAAAAAACACCCCATGTTACCATCGATGACTTGATCCAAGAGGGCAAGTCTCAGCCGGAGCTGGAACCCCTCAAGTGGGTCA